CCTTATTTCTGCAATCCACCTGGCGCCCTCAGACCTCCCCACCAACCACGATGCCCATACCTACCAAAGAGAGGGACATGGGGGAGACTCGGTCATGGGCAGCTCTTGACGAAGGTTTGTATGTAAAAACAACAACCCGGCGGCCCTTTACACCTCCTACAAGTACTTCAGTATCCTGGCCATTTTTTGACGTTGAGGGAGAGAGCAAGCGACCTTTAGAAAATTCAGCTGAAACAACTGAACTTCATGTTATTTCACCAGCAGGTAACGACCCTGGATGGGGTCAACATGACGATAATCTGTATGTAGAAACAGCTACGGGAAAACCACTAACGCACCCTGTCACAACCACAACAAACACCCCTGATGAGGTTGGAAGCTGGATTGAACTAGAAGATGGGCTTTATATTCGGACATCAACTCGACAGCCCTTCACTCGCCCCGTAAAAACAAGGGATCCCTCTACCACTGTGTCAGACTCAGTGATCCCAATGTCAATACTAACAACCACAACAGCAACAATACCTGTCACTGCTGCTGACACAGTGAAACCAAATGCAACGAATGAAGAGCCAACATCCATGGAAAACTTATGGGAAAAGGTATCACAGTGGTTTATGTTTGAGAAGATTCCGAACATCACATCAACAAAATGGACATTTAGCCAGAACAGTGCACCAGTGAACTTACCCTCTCTACCACCTAGTGATAAAGACACAAACACCTCTGGCTCTCTGTCTGGTGGCACTGATTCTCTGTTCCAGCCAATAGCTTCTGGATCAACTGAGCATTTAGCATCATCTTTCCCTATTTCGGATCAAGGAACATTAGACCGGATAATGCAACTCACAAACATCCTAAATAAGAATTTCTCTGATGGTGGACAATCACCAGTGCTATCAACAAGCCATCATAAGCCTATGTCTCCTGAAACCTCTAAAAATACACCCATACCTATAACATTTCACAAACAAAAAACTACACATAAGCCCCCACCCTTTCATGCCCCCACACCTCCTTCCAGACCAATAATCACCAACCAACCAATGATGTCAGATTCACCTGTAACATCGCCACCATGGGCACTCCCCCATAATCTACTTAACATGAAAACAACTGAGACAAAATTCCAATGGCCATCTACAACCACATCAGATATCATAGGGCAAACCCCGTCAAACTTAAGCACAGACACTGGACAATCAACACCTGAAACAGAATCTCTGTTGCCAGTGGATGAAACCCAGGTACAAAAACCCAATTTGTCTCTGATTCTCCAGTATTTTGACAAACCTGTTCCAACGGAAAGAACGAAGATATCATCTTCTAGCCCAGTGACTAAGAACAGAATTTCAACAACTCCACCTTGGGAAAATCCGAGCCATCCACTATACATAAGAACTACTACTAGACGTCCATTTCGACCTCTAACTGCTGAAATAGCATCTACAACCATCCCTGGAGTGGACAAAAGAATCACAAATTATGGAGGGGTTGGTAATATAGTTAGTCAAAATTCAAATGCCTTGCCCGCAGAACAAATTCCTGGAGCAGTGACAATATCATCGGAATCATCAATGGATAGCATAAATCCAAATCCTTTTGCCACCACACAAAGCTCAGCAATGAATTCAGAGTTCAATAACACTGCTGCATATATCCCAGCAGCATTTACAACAGTAGCAACTGATTCTTCGTTTAAAGACAGTTATTCAAATCCTTACTTTGATATCCCCTTTATAAAACCTTCTTTGCGAAGGCAGCCCTCCCACATTTTAGCAGCACCAACCAACTCACCAGCAACAGTTTTGGTTCCACTTACGCCTTTTGGCCACTTGGTCAGCACTACAGCTGATGATGGCACAAGAGATAAACCTTCAGGGTCCATGGTATCATATCTTAATTCTGACTTACCCCTCAAGATGAAAATAACACCTTTGCCAGGCAAGCCCCAAGGAATGAGAGAGGAAGCCACAGAACCACCACGGGCACTCCCAACACGGCAATTAACTCAGAGCGCGTCCAAACAAGAAAGTCCTATTATATTGTATGATTACTACAAGAAAAACACTTCTCCTTACACAGGTGTAAAACACATACCCCTAAATGTGAACAATGATTCAACCCAAGTGTCTAAGGATGCCAACATTCTATCAGTAACTCCTGCATTCAATAGTCCCATAAGTGAACCACAGAGTAATAAAAAGGCTTCAGGGTCATCAGTTCAACAAATGACAGACAAGCTCCAAGAGAGAACCTCACCTCAGCCTCCGATCAACTGGTCCTTGTTTCCAACTCGAGAAGCACAAATGACAACTGTTCCTCCTCCTGAGTCATCAACACAGGGTTTCATGGACTCATGGTCTTCTAAGTCTTGGTATAGTGATCTCTTGAAAGAAAAGAGAACACCCACTTCAGATATTTTAAGTCGGGAATCAACTGATAGCTTAACGGATAACTTGAATAATGTCCACACGACCCAAAAGACATCTACTGTTGAACCTTTGAATGTTACAGCTTCCGTGCTCTCCTCCTCTGACTCAGTTGACCTGTATGGCATTGTGAATGAGGTTCTAAGCTCCTATAGTATAAAAACACACAATGTACCTTCGTTTCAAGATAATAGTACTAAGAAAGCTATATATACTCAAAACGATCACCCATCGATAAATAAAAGTAACAAGAAAGGTATTTCAAGCTTTGGCTCAAACAAATATGGATCCCAACTTAAAAGTCCCGCAGTAGATGATTTTCAGTCAGCTTTTACGAGTCGACCACCACAGTATTGGTATCTTCATAAGCCTCCTTCATCTGGTTTTACAACACCATTTCCCAGGAATCCTTATAAGCAGGTTACCAAGCCTAACTCAAACCATCTGCCACCTACTTTTTATGATAATACACATGACCACTTCCCGTGGAGAGACCCCCGGCCACCATCTTCTGCCCAAGAGCTCCTCATGACTTTCCAGGATAATGAGCCTTACTGGACAGAAAACAATGTTCATGCTGATCACAGGCTTCCTTTTTGGAATCACTCATATTCTTCTATTGTTCCAACTGAAACAGTTACTAGTCAGCCAGTTTCAGAGGAGCCTAGCGAGAGTTTGAAAGAGACAATGATTCCAGCAGAGGAAGAATATCATGGATCAGAAAATATGCAAGTTACTGCAGCCCAAATAGAAAGACTTGAAAATATGCTGTTTGATGCAGCTAAAAAAGTTCTTCCAAAGAATTCTACAGACTTAGACATCTTAGGCTATCTTATAGACTTAGTAAAGAAATCACCAGTGAAGAACAAACCTGGTGAAATCACTATCCCTGTCATTCCTGAAACTGCTGGAATTTCAATCAGACCGCAACATATGGGTACAGACCCTTTGCATTTAGTGTTCCAGGGGGAGTCTACAAGTGACCCTCAGACTGAAAGCATTTCTGTCTCTTCATCTGTAACATCTGCCACTGTTCACACCACTGCCAACTTTCATGAACAAGATCCACAGGATTTAAGTTTTACCATCAGTCCACAGTCTGTCCAGCTGCACATTGTGCCTGATGCAATGGTGACCTTTGTACCACCACTCGAATTAAAGGACACTCTGATAACTAAATTGGATACATTCCCTACGGTGCTACATCAAACGGCCCCCGATTTCCCCACTAGTCGTCCTCCAGCCCTTTCATCAATTCATCCTTCCTTGGTTCCTGAGCGTCCGCAGCCAGCATTTACAAATTTATATGTATCTGGCTCATACCAGTATGATGATACCTATGCAGATGTCCAGGACGATGATTATGCTTATCTAGATTTTTTTTCTTCACTTGAGACATGGTACCCGGCCTTGAGTTCCACCTCAGTCTCCTTCACCACATTTGGAATAAACCCTGGGATAACACTATTCACCACATATTTATACCCTCAGTCTGAAGATGTCAGTTACTCCAAGTACCCTCTGAATGATGAAAGCATGTTCAGTTTTGTGAGTAATGGGATACAAAATCCGACATTCGTGCACCTGAGAACGAAATATCCTGGTGAGGTACTAACTCCAACATTTCATTCCCAGCTTCTATCACTTGAACAAGAAAAGAGCAATCTGAATGTTGGGATTCGACCTACATTTACTACATACATGAATGTGCATAGTCAGAATCAGGCAAATTTCCATCTATATCCTGGTCAAGATGATCTAGGCACTGTAAATGATAAGCCTAATCAATCTCTCCAAAGTCTACCTGCTCATACCAATGTCTACACCTTCTCTGCCCAAACCAGTGCTAACAAACAACCTGGAAAGACCAATATGAATATCAAACCAAGTGTATCTGCTGTAAGTTTACGACCAGGTGCCTTCCCAGTACAGAATATCAATTACATATCTACATACTCTGGTACAAGACCTGATCATGTCAGTATTGATATAAGGCCTAATGAAGCAAACATTAATATAAAACCTGATCATAACATTCCTAACATAGCATCGTACTATCCCGGTACACAAGCTACATATACCAACATCAATATGCACACCGCACAACCAAATGTTAATATACATCCAAGTAAACCCCTTGATCAAGGAACTACAGACATGAAGTCTAGTCAATTTAGTACAGACACGCACCCTAATCAAGCTGGCTTTGATACATTACCCGATGAAACTAGTAATTACGTACCTGGCCATACTGGTATTACCACTTGGGCTAGTCAAGTAAGTCAGAGCATACAACCTGGCCAAACTAATATCTTTATGCACCCTAGTATATTTGGCATTACCATGCAACCGGGCGAAACTGATTATAATTTGCAACCTGGTCAAGCGAGTATCAGTATACTACCTGATCAGGTCAGTGTTATTGTGCGACCTGACCAAGCTGGTTTCATCGTCCGACCTGATGAAGTAAACATTTATGTACGACCTGAAGAAGCAGGTATTAACATAACACCTGATGATACTGGCATAAATATTCGACCTGATCAAGCTGGCATAAAATATACCTGATTGAATAAATACAAGGCCTATTCAATCTGGTTTTACCATACGACCCGATGAGGCTGGCATTAATATACGACCTGATGGAGCTGGTATCAATATAAGACCTAATCAAACTAGTTTTAACATACGACCTGATGAAGCTGTTATTAATATACGACCTGGATTAATATCGATCAAATTAATATACGACCAAGTGAAGCTGACATTAATATACGACCAGATCAAGCTGTTACAAATATGAGCCCTACTAAAGCTAACATCAATATGCAACCTGGTGAAACTGGTATCAACATACGACCAGGTCAAGCTGGCATTCAAATACGACCTGATCAAGCTGGTATCAATATACGACCAGATCAAGCTGGTATTAATATACGACCTGATCAAGCTGGTATTAATATGCGACCTGATCAAGCTGGTATTAATATACGACCAGATCAATGGTACGATCAAGCTGGTATTCGACCAGATCAAGCTGGTACGACCTGATCAAGCTGTATTAATATGCGAATCAAGCTGGTATTAATATACGACCAGATCAAGCTGGTATTAATATACGACCAGATCAAATTAATATACGACCAGATCAAGCTGGTATTAATATACGACCAGATCGGTATTAATATACGACCAGATCAAGCTGGTATTAATATACGACCAGATCTCGACCAGCTGGTATTAATATTCAAGCTGGTATTATATACGACCAGATCAACTGGTATTAATATACGACCAGATCAATTAATATACGACCAGATCAAGCTGGTATTAATATACGACCAGATCAAGCTGGTATTAATATACGACCTGATCAAACTGGTATTAATATACGACCTGATGCTGGTATTAAATATACGACTCAAGAATATTGATCAACTGTATTAATATACGACCTGATCAAACTATTAATATACGACCTGATCAAATTAATATACGGATCAAACTATTATATACGACTGATGTACACCCTGATCAAACTGGTATTAATATACGACCTGATCAAACTGGTATTAATATACGACCAGATCAAGCTGGTATTAATATACGACCCGATGAAGTTGGCTTTGATATAAAACCTGATCACATTAGTCCCAATACACATGGTCATGGAAGCCATATTAGCATACGTCCAGACCAGACCAGTATGCACACACGACCTGGTTGGTTTTCTGTCAACAATCAGCAAGCAAACATCAGCTTTCAACCTGCAGTGATTTATGTCAGACCTGTGGTGACCGAGGAAGCCAATGTCAATGCGCAATTCGGTGACTCTCACAACCTGCTAGGCCAAAATAATATGGGAATTGATTCTGATGAAACAAATGTTGATATTCATTCGGGCGATGAAACTTTTGTTAGCATGGATCATACATATGTTAGCAATGATCCTCCAATCATTGATGCTGATATAACATATGGGACGCACACTCCTACAATGGACATTTCCATTTGGCCAGAAGTGGTACACACTGCAGTAAAACCTCCACAGGTGCCACAGATTACTATTACTTCAAGTGATGGGGCACTTGCCTCTGATGAGTCCAAGCCTTCACTCCCAGGGAAGATTAACCATACATCCTTGAGTATTTTGCCACATGATACCCATATAAACGTTCGTCCAGTGTATGTGACCCATCCGACCCTCACATCAGTTACCGAACCAACTACCACAGACAGTGTCCTTCAACCAACAAATATCAACATCAAACCTCATGATACGAACTCAGTGAGTGAAAATGTGCCTTCCAAACCTACCACAACTACTAAACCCCTCCTCTCCACTTATCCTCCTTCATTTGATTGGGTTCAGCAGCACCTTGCTGAAGCACCTGCGAATATAAAGCCATTATTGACATCTGAAAATATGATAACTTTTTTCTCTTGGTTTATTGGCATCATGAGATATTACACATCAATAACCACTACGACAACTACAACACAGAAACCCGAAATAGGTATCCAGATCCCAGCTGGATTCTTGGATAAGCTGTTGACTCAACTGACACTTTTAAATGACTTTCCTCCATCACGTCCAGCATTTATGGAGGTTCTTCTGGGCCCCGAAAATCCTCTTCAGATCATTTTGCAGGAGCTGTTGAGAGTTACGGATGGTGACATAAATCAGGCACTTGCTATTGTGTCTTCTTTCAGCAAAGCCCAAGCTCAACAAGGAACTAAAGATCCTTCCCTTTCATCAATAGATGTATCACCGGTAACCACAAACACAATACCTACAGTCACTGCAGGACCTCCTACCCAAATATATGCACAGAATTTTGTCACGTGGCCTCCTGTCATATCTCCATATTTTGTAAATGATACAGTATCTACTCAAGCCTTTGGAAGCCATAGTAGTTTGACTACTCCAGTTACTACCTCACTGCCTCCCCATGAAACACTACAGACATTTCAGTCATTAGTCAGCAATGATGATGCAACACAAGTATCAGTGGCTGAAGAAAGTCAACATTTGCAAGGTTCTTTTACTGATCCTGTGATGCAAAGCCCTTCACTATCTTGGGAAGACAATGAAATATCAAGTACTCAGGTCTCCGAACCGGATCATTCACAGGATACCCTTGGTCTTGTTGACTTAGAAAAAGCAGAACTTTCTGAACTCATACATAAGGTTCTTAAGGATTACATGGCTGGAAAACACGCAAATGACAGCAGCACAATGGATAAAAACAGTCATGAATATAACCATACTCGTCATGTCCTTGCCGATTCACCAAAGGATGAATCTGTTCATCATAACCCTGAAGAGCTAAATGTCTCCGTTCAAGCAGCTTCCAGTAACATAAAAAAGAATACAACCAGTGTGAAAGTAATGCTTGAATGGGCTGACACAATGGCAGCTGCTATCCTTACTCCAAACAATTACGCCAACATCTCAATCTCAGCCCCAGGTAATCCCAACCCTGAGACTCTGATAGAACTCCTGAAAGGGACGTTAAAAGAAGTTCTTCCACGAAACACCTCATCGGATGGTACGTATCTGAACCCCTTTGTCCTTCAAGAGGTTCTTTATCAATTGACTGGTGAAGATCAACTAACCCAATCTCAGGAACTGACAACGAGCTCAGAGCTGTCATTTAGCGATTTGCTTTCTGATTATGATAAACTTACACTTACAACATTGTATTCTGTCTCTGTTAATAACACAAAGAAGAGGAAACAAAATCTTGAAGGCATTGATCTAGTCGAAACTTCATCAATACCAAACGATTTGTTTATGCTGCCAGAACCAATATCGGCTCCAAAACCTGTATTCATATCCCACAATGTGAGGGATTACTTAACCGCTGCACAGGCTCAGATGGAGAATTTCTACCCATCCGAACAAGATTCATTTCCATTACATCAATCTTCAATTCCAAGAGATCCTGAAACAGCAAATGCCGATATATCTATCAGTCCAACTGTCGTGCATTTTCAGCAACCAATTTATCAAGGGGATGTTAGTTTCCCGCAGAGACTAAGTGGCTCTGATAATAAGAGTTCTGCAAATGACTTGACCTTTACACCAGGGCTGCCTACTGTTGGTCAATTCAATACCAATAATGATGAATTAAATAATCCTTTTACTGAGGTGAAACCTACCACTAGCCACTCTTCCAGTGTCTCACTCAAAGCATCAACTGTTCCCGTAGATGAGATTCACAAAATTAAAACAAATTTGCCATTCTATAGTTTTGTACAACTCTCAGATACAGGGTTCAATGACACCGTAGATATTCATAGTTCTCAAAGTATGAGATATAAGGATAAAACAACTTTAAGACCGCCTGTGCAAGAAGACCCTGAATCCTTAGGTGTGAGCCACAATAACGAGGATGCTTTATTTCCCATCAGACCAGCATTCACCAGAGTTGGTATGCAAACCACAACGCCACCTACAAGTTTCATCAATCCTCCCACGCCAATGAATCTCCAACCTGGACTAATGTATCTTCAGCCACAAGAGGTCAGCACAGTGTATAACACTGTAACTGTCACTGAGTCACCAGATGTGATTGTGACATTGCCACCTTCTCTCGACAATTCAGTGCCTTCACTTGATGGTTTGATGTCACCAAACACAGTCACCGTTTCAGCTACAAATGCACCTGAAGTAGATCAAGTATTTTATACTACCGAAGCAAATACAGATGGAGAGGTCACCACCAATGGTAATATATCATCGGGAATAACACTTGAAGAGTCAACTTCATTCTATAAACCTGATCCTTTATTATCGACTAAGATTTATGACGAGGATCCTGTTGTTACCGAGCTCAGTAACCTCTCTAACCAGGTGCTTGTGTTACAGGACTTAGTATTTAAAATACTTAATAACACGTCCACAAGTCAAAATGCCACTCCATTCACATCCTATCCAGCATCTCCTGAATGGGGAAATGAAACGGCAGTACAACAGCCTTCTGTTACTGATGTTTTACAAATAGGAAACCAAGCAGAAGAGTCATTGTCAAATTCTCATGCTTCCAATGAAATGGAAATAATGGAAACGACAGTTCAGTCTCCCATTTATGATAAATTGCTTACATCAACAGAGCAAATTAGTACAAATCGACCTGGGGGAACATTTGGAAATAATATAGAACAAGAAACAGATTCACTTCCTGAATCAACAGCTCACATGTCTGGGAATCCTTTATATAGTCTGCCCAAGTTTCCTTCCACTGCATCCAATATGGCTGAGCTCAGAAATAACTCTTTCGCTCAGAGTCCATTTCTGATGGTGATGAACAGTTTCAAAGACCATGGAGTGGCACAGCTCTCAAATAAGAACACAGCTAACCTAGATTTGCCAATTCAGAGTCCCTTTCTTGTAGTAACTACAAAACCCAAGGATTACCTTATGCCTACAGAACAATCCTATGAGGAAGGGGATGTAGACATGCCACTGACACCACAAGGAAACAACACAGAAACTGTTTCCTCTTTAGCAGAACAGATAAGCAAAATATTAGATAGTCTAAGTTTCAACAGACCGCTGAGCA